TGTGTGTGTGTGTGTGTGTGTGTGTGTGTGTGTGTGTGTGTGTTTATGCCCACACAGAGGGAAGACGGGTGGCTTGGGGAACCAAGAGACCGAGGGTAGATTGGGGAGCATCGAGTCTATTTGGGGGAACCTTTGAAATAGAGGTGCCTGCTGGAGATATTCTAGACGCCGGGGAGTGTGTGTGTGGGGGGGGGGGGGGGCAGTGCCCAGGAGAGGAGGGCCTAGGCAGGGAGAAAGTCCCCGCAGGGCAGAGACTCCAAGCCTGGGAGGGGACTGAAGAGTCAGGCCAAAGAGGGAAACTAAGAAGCTCAGTGAAAGAAGGTCCCGTGCGAGGAGGGGTCAAGGGCTTCCGGTGGGGAGGAGGCAGAGCAGCCGCTTAGCGGGAGTGGCCGCAGCTTAGATTTTGGCTAACTCAGAGACCCCGGCTCTGGTGCAAGGCGGGGGGGGCTCCCTCCAGCAACCCTAGTCCTCTCTGCCCCCACCCCCTTTCCCCCGCCTGACTCCTTACCTGTGTAGACAAAACGGCCCGGGGCTCCCTTGCAAAATTGCTTGGACTTGTAGGACAGGGTCACCTCCACCACCCCGGGAATGTGCCGCGGGGGCGTCTGAACCCGTATGGCGTGGGGCGTGATGAGCTGCGAGGGGAGAGGGGAGGCCTGCGGGTTCCAGCCCGGGGCGAGGGGAGGGCCCAGCCGCGAGGCCCCGAGGGAGACTGGCGGGGGGGTGGCCCACCTCGCTCCACACGAGCACGTTCCCGAACACGACCTGCAACCCGTCGAAGAAATTGTCGCCGATGACAATGACGGTGGCGCCTCCTGTGGTCCAGCCCTCCCCAGGGCTGATGGCCTTGATACAGGGGGTGGCCGCTGGGAGGCAGGAGAGGAGACAGGTCAAGGGCCTGCCCCAAGGTGGGACTGGGGGCTGGCTGGGCCTGGGCCCGGGGTCCTGACCTTCAGAGGGGTCCAGGCGGCGCGCCCTGCGACCATGCTTGGAGTTGTTGTGCACAAACATGTTGTCGGACACGGCCAGCACGTGTCCGTCCACGCTCACCGTGGTGGACACCACCACCTGCAAGGAGAGCAGAGGCCTGCCTGGCTGAAGCCCTCAGGGGCTCCCTGCAGGGGACTGTGGCGGGCAATTTGCAACTTGGCCAGGGTGGCTGGAGGCTGGAGCTCAGAGTCATGGGCATGGGAAAGAGCTTCCCCCACCCCACCCCCACCTGGGGCTGAACTGGTGGGAGAGTGGGGCGGGCAGCTAGGTCAGGTGACAGCCCAGATGCGCCATCTCTGGCTGCCCAGGAGAAGTGACCCCCAGGAGCTAGAAAAATCAAGAGCCCTGAAAAAATCTCTGGCTCCTTGGGCAGAATGGCTACTGTTTTGGGGCACACTTGCACCCCGGGCTGAATCCCCGGGGCTCCAAGGCAGGAATGTGTTTTAGGCAAGTGGGAGTGAGGGTTGTGACTAAGGGGGGAGGCAGCATCAGCCTGAGAAACCATGAGCAGGAGCCCCCACCCTTGGGAGGAAACTGGGGCTACCTCCTTCTCTCCCTCCCACCCTTCACTGAGAGGGGTGTGCAGGTTGGGGATGTACTAAGGGCAGCTGCTCTCTGCTTCAGGCTATGCAAATTAGCTGGGTCGTTAATCATGTAAAAATGTCACAATTAGCATCTCCTTAAGTGGGACTCTAATGAAGCCTCCCTTGGCAGCCAGCATAAGTTGAGATGGAGCTGCCCCACCCCCAGCAGGCACCGGGCCCTAAAGCACAGGGCTGGGCAGAGATCTGCCTTGGGGCTTTCCCCAAGGTGGCAGGACCACAGCCTTCCCCACGCAGCCCATCAGGAAGGGGTGGGTTTGCAAGGGGACCCCTCTCCCAGACCCACCTGGAAGCGGCGCATGTCTCGGGGATTCCCTGCATTCTTTAGGCAGTTCTGGTTGCACTTGAGGAAGAACTTGAGGAAGAACCTGAAAGGGTGTGGTAGGTGGGCTCAAGGGCTGGGGTAGAGGGTCTGGAAATGGATGAAGATCCAACTGGTCCCTTCCATGCCGCTTCCCAGCGGGGTTACTCCCCTCCACCTGCTTACACAAGGCACATAACCCCTATTCCCACCACCAGCTGCGTATATACAAAATGCCTGATATACACCAAGTAGACCCTTCCCAACTAATTCACAACACAGAATATCCATCCCCGCCCCCAGCGTAGGATCACACAGTGCTTATTTATTCCACAAAGCATATACCCATCACACCCACCCAAAGGATAGTCCCCATAAATACTATGTCCGTTATATATACACGATATATACCAATTACTCATGAGTTATACCCACCACAAAATGTATATGCCATTTGCAGTATGTACTCACACTTACCCATAAACTTATCCCACACCACGTATATACGTCATACTCTATGTGCATCACACATGCAGTGCATCCGCATCACACAGCATATTCCCCTCCTGCGTATACTATCCCCCACACCATGCATACTCATAATAATACATCTATCATATATACCGTGTATGCCTTATATACTATCACTCACAAAATACAGCCATCACACAGTGTATACCCACTACACTCAGGGTACACCCTTCACAGAGCATATACAGTCATATTCCACATACAGCCTGTAGTCATCACATATGTATGGTATACTACTGCCACACAAAGTCTATACCCATCACGTGCAGCATCTGCCCATCCTATACTGTATATGCACGGAAACAGTGTATCTATTAATATATCCTTTATGTTGTATATGATTACCCAAAATACAGTCATTGCAAATGCCATAGAGTCATCACAAATTGCAAGCAGATCGCCCTTCCTCCTTTGCAGCAGATTCCCCCCCCCCCAACAAATCCGTTTTGCACACACATCTCGCTCACACATAGCAGACTCCCAGCCATGGCACACCTGACCCAAACAGATCTCTCGTGCACGTATTCTACATGCGTTATACACAGAGCAACAACCTCATCAGACAGAGCCTATACCCATCACACACACGGGGTGTACCTGTCAGACACGCCGTACAGATGCACATTGAATATCTTCTTTTTCTCATACAGTAATTGGAAAAAAGCACAGTATATGCAGTGATGAGACTGGTTTTTAGACAAACACATGAGACCTTGGTCTTCCAGTCCTTCTAGGCAGTTGGCTAGGATGGTGGGGCCTTAGCCTTGCCAGCCACTAGGGAGGTAACCAAGGATAATACTCTGGATTTGTGCTCTTAGTGAACTCAAAATACTATCGACATCTGCCCTAGCCCCCACAGGACCCTGAGAGCATCTGGGGAGACGCCCTTTACAAACTATGGCATGCAGGGTTAACGTCTGCAGGGCTTGGGGTCCTGGCACGTGGCCCGCCTCCTGGGCCATTCCATGAGCTCTGCCAGTGTGCATCCTCATTTTACCACCACCCCCTGGTTTTGAACCCCAAATCTGAATATCCAACTTAACTCCCTAGAGTTGCCTCCAAAGCCTGCAAGCATGAACTTCACATTCAGAGCAAGATTTGTCACAGGTTCTAAAAGCGAGTTCCCAGAGAGGAGGTCCCCAAGTGTTGGTAGGGGTGGGCACCACCCCTGGACTGAAGTGTCCCAAGGGGCAGTCCCTCATTAGGAGTGGGAACCAGTCATTTTCCTAGAGATGCGGCCTCTTGTCCACACTGCTGACACATGACCACCTGTCATAACCCCCCCCCACAGTGAATACCCTCTGGGAACCCCCTTCATTTTCCTTTCTTTTTTTTTTTTTAAAGATTTTATTTATTTATTTGAGAGAGAGAGAAAGAGAGCACGAGAGGGAAGAGGGTCAGAGGGAGAAGCAGACTCCCTGCCGAGCAGGGAGCCCGATGCGGGACTCGATCCCGGGACTCCAGGATCATGACCTGAGCCAAAGGCAGTTGCTTAACAACAGAGCCACCCAGGCGCCCTCATTTTCCTTTCTATAGGGACATTACATCCACACACATTTCCATCCCCAGTGAACACCCGCCCCTGAAAATACTTTCATGTAGTGTAGACCTTCTATACAGCCCTACAGAGGAGCATTCTGGGATGCAGGTGTCTCACATGACCCCAAACAGTGCACACCCACCATGTAGACCCTCCACATTCACCCCTACTGGATACACTGCAGTGCAGACAGCTTATATGCCCCCAAACAGTAGTCACCCCAGTGTAGATGCGCTATTTACCCATAAGGTCACCCCAAAGTGCAGTCACCTTAATTGCTCCCAAACAGCATGCCTGCTCAGTGCAGACACTCCATTTATCTCACATAATCCGCCATAGTACTATTTCCTATGTTCCTATGAGACATCTCATGGTGTCACCCGTGTCCGCAGTAACCACCTTACGCGTGCCCCACATTTACATGACATAAAGCATAGACACCCTCATCACACGTGGTGCAGACCACTTCACGTAAATTCCACATTCATGGGCTCAGTCCTTTACAAGGCGCTAGAAGGAGGAGGGCAGATGTCGGGATAGGAACAGTCTCTATCCTGGCTGGGATTAAGGCTAGCCCTTGGATATCCCTGATGAAGCAAGCATGGGAGTGTCCCCCAAGGAGACACGCACTTCCCTCATATCCACACACATGCCCACTGCACCGAACCCCACTCCCAAACCTACAGAGTCCAGAAGAAGGGTTCCTGAGATAGGGCCCGAGATGTGGGCTCTGGCCCAGGTGCTGACTCACTTTGTGGCATCTCTAACCTCCATCTCCGTCCACCAGGAGAACCGGGAGAGTAGCTGCTGATGGCTACTGAGGCGCCTTCCAGGGACAGCTTCTGGGACGTCCTCTATTTCCAACCTCCCATGGCCTCACTGCTGTTTCCTGAGCAGCCTTGCCCCTCTGCTCCCGGGGAGCCCCCTCCGCCTTTCCTCGGCAAGTCTTCCCTCCCTTTCTCTTTCCAGTATCCCTCACTTCCAGAAATAAGTCATGGGTGGTATTTGTCCTGGGTCTACACCGGTTCCCACTACTTGTCTGACCAGCCGTGTCTGGCCATTCTAGACTTCAGGGACTGCCCCTCCCTGGGAGCCCCAGGGCCCGGCCTACACCTCCAACTCGGTGGACCTGCCCCAGAACATCTCTGTTTTTAAGCCTGGTGCAGAGTGGTGTTGAGGAAGAAGCAGCCACTCAAGGCCTGGGCCCTCCCTGGGGGTGTCAAAGGTCAGTTCCCTATCTCCTTCCCCGAACTTCTAGCTCAGAGCTGCACCCAGTCAACGTCAGCGATCGTGGAGCTGCTGATTCTCACGCCCTGCCAAGTGGTGGTCCGTGAGGCTGCTCCCAGCCAGCCACGGCTGAGCCAAAGCAAACAGTCTGCAGAGAACCTGCTGCTACCGCAGTGTGCCCCCGACCCCGCACCAGCCTCAGGGGCATTAAGAAAAATTACCCGCAAGTTGAAAATAAGGCAAAATGCTGACTAGGAGTCCTTTCAAAGTCATCCTGGAACAGTGGTTTTCGAAGTGTGCCACCTGGCTCAGCATCAGCATCAGCACCACCTGGGAACTTGCTAGAAATGCAGAATTTCAGGCCGCACCCTGACCCACTGAGATGCTTCAGGTTCGGCCCAGTCATCTGTGTTTTCATAAGGCTTCCAGGTGATTCTGATGCCTCCTAAAATTTGAGAGGCACTGATCTAGAGCTACACTATCCAATCCGGCAGCCACTAGCCCTGTGAGGCATTGAGCCTTTGCAATGTGGTTTGAATTGAGATGTAAGTATAAAATACACACCGAATTTCAATGACTGACTTAGGAAAAATACGACAGAATGCCAAATAGCTGACTAGTAACACTGTTGTATTGGTTACACACTGAAATAATATTTTAGATATACTGGATTAAATAAAATATATTGTCACAATTAATGCTACCAGTTCCTTTTCTTGTTTTAAAAATGTGGCTACTAGGGGTGCCTGGGTGGCTCAGTCGTTAAGCGTCTGCCTTCAGCTCAGCTCATGATCCCAGGGTCCTGGGATCGAGCCGCGCATCAGGCTCCTTGCTCCGCGGGAAGCCTGCTTCTCCCTCTGCCAGTCCCCCTGCTTGTGTTCCCTCTCTCGCTGTGTCTCCCTCTGTCAAATAAATAAATAAATAAAATCTTTAAAAAAAATGTGGCTACTAGTGAAAATTTAAAATGACATTTGTGGCTTGCATTATATTTATATTGGACAATGCTGCTCTCCAGTGTTACGTTAACAAAGCCACTTAAGTGTTACCTAATTCTCCTAGGGGAACGTAACTTTGACTTGTATTTGCTATTGATTGGGACCTAGACTCTATAAAGGTGGTGCTAATTTGCAGGCAAATGATAAGATGTAAATGATTTTTATTGGGAGAAGTAAATAATTTGTTTGGTAGAGAAATTTGCCCTAAAGTTTGTAATTATATCGTTCTAGGGACATTAACGAGCTTTGTAGCTAACTTGCCAATTGTTTGTTTTTTTAAGATCTCATTTATTTATTTGAGAGAGAGAGAGAGATAGTGAGAGAGAGAGCACAGGCAGGGAGGAGAGGGAGAAGCAGGTTCCCCGTGAGCAGGAAGCCCGACATGGGGCGCGATCCCAGAACCTGGAGATCATGACCTGAGCCAAAGGCAGACGCTTAACGACTGAGCCACCCAGGTGCCCCTACCCTCACTTACTTTTACTAGCTTTTCTAATAATATATCTCATTTTCTTTTTTTTTTAAAGATTTTATTTATTTATTTGACAGAGAGAGACACAGCGAGAGACACAAGCAGGGGGAGGGGGAGAAGCAGGCCTCCCGCGGAGCAGGGACCCCGACGCGGGGCTCGATCCCAGGACCCTGGGATCATGACCTGAGCCGAAGGCAGACGCTTAACCACTTAACCAACTGAGCCACCCAGGCGGCCCCTAACTTGGCAATTGTAGTCCAGTGTTTTTTTGTTTTTTTGTTTTTTTTTACATACCCCCATTTCTT